TTCCTGTATCCCCCAACCACGCTGATGCAGCCGGGGCGAGGCGGAGCGTGCTGCGCTCCTGTCGGGCAGTCCCCTGGGTGCTTCCTGTGCCCTGCCTGCACGCGTTCTGCCCCACTGCCCCTCCGCGAGAGGGAGGGCGGATGGACGGATACCTCCTGTGGCCCAGCCTCTGCCCCTCATCCCACACACCAAAAAGGGGAAGTTGCTGAGAGAAGGAAGTCTGCCCCATGCAGTTGCTTTGGCTGCAGCAGTCACATTTTCTCCGCTGCTGGTAGCCCAAGTCCCTGATCCTTGTGCTGGCTGCCAGGGCGACGCTGGGCCCATGGAGAGACCAGTGAAGGATGGGATCCTCTATGTTCAGCACTGCAAATTCGGAAAGGTAAAGGGTGTGTTTGGGGGTTTTTCCGTGATCTGTCTTGATGCCAGGCCTGGGGCTGGGCCCTCGGCAGCCTGGGAAGGGGGGACTGGAGCCAGACCCCTCGGAGCTGCTCCGGGGGGGCCCTAGGCTCCTCAGCCCCAGGAGCAGGGCTCTCCCTGCGGCCGAGGGGACTCATCCGTGCAGGCATCTGCTCAGGTTCGCCCCTGCACGTGGGGTCCCTCTTCTCGCTTGGTCACCGCGTGATTCACGATGAAACAATAAATGTGTGTTAATGAGACGCAGCTCCAGCGTGTGTGTGGGAGCGGGGCACCGGGGCAGTGCGTGGGACGTGGCTCTGCACCCAGCCCTCCGCATGCCTGGCCCTGGGGTGCCAGCGCCATCCGTGGGGGCACCCCTCATGGCTTGGCCTGCTGCCCTGGGCCCTCGGGGTGGGCACCGATTGCTGCAGCCCTCTGAGCACGGTTTGGGTGACGTGGTGGGCGTCCCCGCAGGGTTGAGCCAGCTCTAGGGAGCTGTGAGGTGGGTGTTGGTGAAGCAGGTCCCACTGGCACGCTGGCCTTGCCTTAGCGGCATCCCCTCTGCCACGGCGGGGCGGCTGTGCCCCCGCGGGGGGCTCGGTGGATGTGCTGGTCTGTGATCACGCTCCGACCTCCCTGCCGAGCAAGAGCCGAGTCCTGGAACTGAAGCGGGCAGGCCCTGCGTGTGGGGGGCCGGTGCCCTGCTGCGTAGGAGGCAGGCGGGCTGGTGGCGATGGGTATTTTGGGTGCTTGGATGCATCTGGTTTCTGCAGGGCGGAGGCTCTGCTGCGCTTTTGAGGTGCGTGGGGGCACGCGCCCCCTCTATCCCATGACAGGCTGGGAAGGTGCTGGTGCCGCAGAGCCTCCCCTGGGAGGAAGCGGGCTGTGAGCTGCAGGGCCTGGCAGCGCTCAGCAGATGTGAGGCTGCCAGCAGGAGCCTCAGCAGCTCAAAATGGCTTTAATTTGCATCAGGGTCTGTCCTGAGAACAGCTTGAGAGCTCAGCTGCAGCAGCGGCAGGCCAGCACTTGCAGCGGGGAACAAAGAGCAGGACCTGGTGCTCGGCGAGCCAGCAGCGAGTGTGACTCACCCAGCGAGCCATGCTGAGCTCGCTCAGGGCAGGGCCCCCCCTCAACCCAGCGCTGGCCCCGGCTCTCCATGCCCTCCAGCAGCACCTGGCGGGTGTGGGCAGGGACCCCCTGTGCCCCCTCCTGCCCCGCACGGCTCTTCCCAAGCACTGTCAGCCCCACGTGGAGGGCAGCGCTGCGAGGACGCAGCAGGCAGCTCTTTGCTGACCCTTTTTTTCCCCTGCCTGTGCCCTTCCCGTGCCACAGAGGTCCTGGAGGAAGATGCGAGCCCAGCTCTTTGCTGCCAGCCCCTCCGGCGTGGCCCGCATGGAGAAGTTCGATGTGCGAGATGACGGGACGGCGCTGGAGAAGACCTCCCTGCGGCGGTGTGCCCGGCGGGTGATCCGCCTCTCGGACTGCGTCTCTGTGGGCCCAGCGGGCACTGAGAGCTGCCCCAAAGCCACTGCCGCCTTCTACCTCACCACCACGGAAAAGAGCTACGTGCTGGCGGCCGAGCAGCGGGATGAGTGGATCGCCCAGCTCTGCCAGCTGGCTTTCCAGGTACCGTGGGGTCAGGCATAGCCAGGAGCCCTCACGCTGCTCCTGGCTCAGGTGAGCCAGGGGGCTCTGGGGTGCGTGCGCAGGCAGGGGGGGCTTGTGATCCCCTGGTCCAGGGGCTGTGCTCACATCCTTCTGTTTCAGGGTGCAAAGGAGATGACGCAGAGCAGTGCCAGGACCCAGCCCAGTCCTACTGTCCCCATGGAAGAGAACTCCCTCTACTCTTCCTGGCAGGACCGTATGTGCAGGGGTGGTGGATGGGGCCAGGGTGGGCTCCAGCTCTGCGCTGCGGTGCTGACTCCCACCTTGCTCCTGCAGTGACCGAATTCCCAGTGCTGGTGGTCCGGACGGATGCGGCCGCCCGCTGCGGCCTGCACGGGCATTACCTGCTCTCAGCCCTTCCCGAGAGCCTGACGCTGAAGGACCCGCAGTCCCGCCAGCCCCTGCTCACCTGGCCCTACCCCTTCCTCCGCAAGTTTGGCCAGGATCAGGTGTGTGCCTCCCCCCCTCCCTGGGGCTGCTGGCTGCCCAGGGCAGGTGCCAGCCCCTCACCCTGCCCTCTGGCCCCACAGACCATCTTCTCCATTGAGGCTGGCCGCCGCAGCGACTCTGGCGAGGGCCCCTTCACCTTCAGCACCCCCCGGGCCCCAGAGCTCTGCCGGGCTGTGGCCCCCGCCATCACCTGCCAGCAGCAGGGCA